GGGTCATTTCCAGACTTCACAGCAGTCTTTTCTCAACACAAATTTCACAATCTGTCCCCTCCTCTATAAATCCCCTTCTACTGTCATTGTCATACCCTGAGTTTACCAGATTTCCCATGTACACACCATACTTAGAGTAGTCAAAGAATTTTTTCTAATTTGTGAATATAAATATATATGCACTTATACATACCTATGTCTTAGACCTGCATAACTATATAGCTAAAGGCCATCGGCTTTTTAATAATCTTTATTGAAAAACAAAAATCACATTAACCAAGGGTAAACCCAGATATTTGATAGTTCTGTATTACATTAGCATTTTTCATGTATACTGACTGAAATTCATTAATGAATTTTACTCCCTGCAGATATGCTCTGACTAAGCAAACTTAAAAGAGAATAAAGAATTGGCACTAGAGTTCAAAGAAAAGTAGAAGACTAAAAAAATGACATATGATATGAAGAGTAGCATTCCCTATAGCCTCTTCCCTAACTCCTACCTCTCTGCCAGAAAAAAGATAAAGAAAAAAAAAGCAAAAGTAGACAGAACAAAGAAAGATGTAAAAGGAAACTACTTCATGTGAATGACTATAGTGAAAAAACTAAAGCTCTGCTTAACTGTGGAATATAATTATAAACTGCATTACTTTATTATCATGCACTAAACAACATACAAACCAGAATTATTCAGAGATAAGATCTCCAGGGGGACTAAACATAATAATATTCAAGTATAGTAAAACCAACCAAAAGAAAATTAAAAGTACTTATTAAAATTTTTCCCACCTGATTTTTAATAACACATTTTTAAGCATTAACAAGATATCAAAGAAAGTGATTTATTATGGAAAGATTTTAACAATAATATTGGACCAGTACTGTTTTCGGTTAAACAGAAAATTCTGATAGCTATATAGACCCAAGTAATATCTTTTTAAAAAATTTCAAATATAAACCTGATATACGAGGCCTGTCCAGAAAGTATCCAGCTATTGTTAACATAACAAGAACTGTTTGCACAACATTGAGGTAACCTGGTAGCCAAGGAGAGTGGACTAGGATGCACATGTATGGACAATGACTTCACTGTACTAGTCAGTGGGACATTGGACACCATTGAGTGAGCATGTGTACTGTGTGGCCACTGCATTCAAAATGAGTGAGTAGAGCAATGAATCTGTACCAAATTTTGTGTTAAGCTTGAACATTCCTCCACAGGAACTATTCGTATGATTCAGAAGGCTTTCAGGGACGATGCAATGAGTGCTACTAAAATAAAAGTGTGGCACAAATGCTTCAAAAATGGTCTAGTGTGTTGAAAGTGATCCATGTTCTGGAAGACTTACAACAAGCAGAACTGAGAATGTTGAATGTGTACAAGTTAAGAGATGCCGGGAGAACTGTGTGAGGTTTCAAGGTGCCTACTTTGAAGGAGACTGAGATGTCATTGTCCTGTGTACAATGTTTCTTGTATTGCTTTCAATAAATGTCTCTATTTTTCCTATTACATGGCTGAATACTTTCCAGACAGATCTCATATAAATGTGGGTACACAGATATAGTTAGGACTGTTAAACAGTCTGTTTTCACAGAGATAAACTCTAAAATGCAGTATTTCCTTTGAAAAGATCTTAGATACTGGTATTAATGTTTAAAAGTATTTTGAATGTCCTATCTCTGAAGACTTCTAAATGGGCTATGGGTGTAATCACAATCAAGCTTAAGTGAGTGCACTGATGTGCTACTACAGAGAACTCCAAGGACAGTCCAGTAAAGATCTAACGTGAAAGTTCAGTCCAGTGCTTTGGATCCATTTCTATCAGTTCTTACAGTAACTCATGAGACCCCAACAGCCAAAATGGTGAAGCAGATGGTGAGTGACGCAGTAGCGTTTGTTCAGGTAAGTTTGGACTCAGATGCAGGAAGATAAACTCTGTACGCAGTCTGACCTTCTTGCCCAGGGGGTGGTGCATGCCTTGCAAAAATGGATCAAGTTTTCGTTTTGTGTACTTCTCGTGAAAAGAATGGGGTATTCCAGACGCTCGGGTGGTTAGCCATTTGCAAGTGGATATGGGTGACTGTCAAGTGTGCAGACGGTGAAGGTCATATAAATGCATGACAAACCTTCTAATTCTTTAAAAAAGGACCAAAAGTAGGTGAAGTTCTCTGGACTAATTAAGGAAAAGCTCGAACACCCCACCGCATTAATGACAGTCTAATCGTAAGTCGATGTTTTTTTCTGAGAAAGACTCAACCAAGCCATTAGCTGTTTAAAATTTGTAGCGTTGTTTATTTTTACAAAAAGTGATGAGAGTTTATGGAGACCGCGTGATTGAAAGAATGAGGAATAAAATGATTAATTCTACCCTTAAAAAAAAAATCTTAATATCAGACCAATCTAAATGAACACAGGTATTCACCATAACCACAAGGAGGAGAGAAAGTGGAATGTGGCATTATCCACCATTACCTGTTTTTACTGTTTTTCTCATATATGAGGGTTTCTGTAGAATGCAGGGTTTATCATCCATTAGCATTGGTAATTTTTAGTTATTCATAGCGTATCCTCTACATCAGGCCCAAATTGCAGAAATGTCGCTGCTTTCGTCTCTCTCCTTGTTTCCAATAAGCCTTTGCTGATGAAGCCTGTCTGATCGTCTCGCCTGAACAGATGTGAGGGGGGCCTTCTCTTACTCCTATGTTCCCATAGCACTTTGAAGCACACCCTTCATTATTGCATTTTTAATTGCTGTGTTCGCGATGACCATTTCCAAAATTTTTAATCTCCTAGAGAAAAGTATTGTCTATTATTGTCTGCCAAAGTAACCTTTCACTCTTTGTTTTGGGGTGCAATATAGCTTGTTGAATCATTATGGATCAATCAAAACTCTGGTATCATTGTATCCCACCACGCGGGTTCAGAAAGCAAAGAAAGAAAAAAAACCAAAAAAAAGACACTCTGTATCACAGCAGTAATTTTTCAAGTAAATTTAGTATACATATAGAGTTAAGACGTACAGAGTAACTTTTCTTTCACATTTTTCATTCCCACGCCCAGTCGCGCTATATTGCGTATGGAAAAGGCCGTGATCATTGCCTTCTTTTTTTTTATTTTTTAATACAAAGGAGAATGTATTTCCGTACCGTAGATCAAAAGCCCAGCGCTCTCCACTTCTATTCCCATTCCCTCATCAGTTTTCACATAGTGTTGTTCCGCGACAATTATTCCCCTCTCATGTATGCACCAGTTATTCTCTTAAACTTGAATCGTGATTCTCATGCAAGCGCTTACGACCGCCGCGCATAGTGGGTAGCCTTTGATCTGTAACAGAAGGTTGTTGTAATATAAATAAAACAAATAAAAATAAACCCCTCTTGCCCTCATTATTCTCTTCTAGCTACTTTCTCATGTCTCAGATCCCCTTCACAGCACTTCTTGAACTTTATCATGGTATCTGCTTTAACTTCTGACTCCCATTCTCTTATCAAGTCACTGCAATTAACCTAATAAAGCTCACCTGGACACTATAACCCATGCCCTATAGCTTAACAACGATAGCTAATCACTAATCAATGTTATATCTGTAAACAAATGATAATTCTTGACAACAACTTTGTAACACTCTCTGTCTCCCTGTTTTGCCTTTAAAAATCCACTTGTAACTGCTGCCAAAGGGAATGTATATTTAGGGCAGCTTGAATCAATGCTCCTGGGTTACAATGCTCAAGGTAGGCCCAAATGAACTCTACTTTGTTAATTTTGCCTTAGCTTCTTCCTGTTAGGTCAACAAAGGGAACTAGGCTGCAAAAGAAAAGAAAAAGGGAAATCCTAGGACAATGTGTCATAAAGCCAGGCAAGGGTAAATACCATTTTGTAACATCAGTCACTCTACTACTTTTCCTTAACATAAATGGGAATTTGAGTTGATTGTTCCTATTTACCAAGGGTTTTTTGAAAATTCCTACCCACTGGTCCTACTTAGAAAATAGATGTATTTCCATCTAAATTATCCCAGTGCCACAGATAAAGAAAACTTAGCAAACCATTACACTACCCATCCCTAGAACATTTTCCCGCACCTCTTCCTTGTAACTAAGTCCTATCCTCTCAAATTGCTGTTTAATTTCAGAATGGATTCTTCACCAGCTTCAAATCACTCAAGCAATCTCAGTCGGCTGTGCCAAGGGATTCCCAGCATCAAATAGCTTCAGACTGGTGACAGAGCATTCATTAAAAGTATGAAGTCTGAGCCAAGGGGACCTGAGACTTTGCGCAAGTTTCTTCAATGCTTGGAATTTATCTTAGTTTGTGTCATTTGAAAAATGGCGTTTGTTGCAGATTTATTTTCTAAGATCCCAGTAAAGTTTTAAGTGTATAATCACAATATAAACATCACCAGGACTCTTACAAAGGTAGGATGGTAGGGAAGCAATTTGGTAAGCTTTACACAACCTTTTTCAAGCCCCACGTTGTATGTACTTATTAAAATCTACTTATGCTCCATTTTTACTACCCAATTTGGGGGGTCTGAACCTACCGTTTTTGTTTTTTTTTTTTGCATTTTGGGAAAACAGAATCATGGCTCTGCTAAGATGAGAGACAAAGAAGAGAGAGACAGACAGAGAGAGAGAGACAGAGAGACTTCCACACACACCCATGCGGCTGCTTTGCTTTATATGCTAACACTGCAGAGAATCCTGTAGGGCAAGGCAGAAAAGCCGGTTTTTTCTTTTTTCTTTTCAAATTCCCTGAAACGAAAGGCTGGACCCCAAACAATCCGGTTTGAAACTTAACTGCCTCCCGCCTTCCGACCATTGACACACAACTCGGCCTGGCAGCGAACCGCAGGAGGAAGAGGCAGCGCCAGGGACGCCGCGTGAAGCCCAGGGCTTGGCCCAGCCGCGCGGCGCCAGCCGGTGCCAGCCTCGGGTGCCCGCCACGCCCCCCAGTCTCCTCCGCCGCCGCCGGCTCCGGTCCAGACCGCACCCCTGCGTCACGTGACCAGGCCGCGCGGCCAATCAGCGCAGCGCTCCCGGGTGTTCAAATCCGCCGCGGGGGCGACGGTTGTGTGGTGACACGCCGCCGCCGGTGTCGCGGACCCGAGTGTTGTCTTCTGCCGGCATGGACGCCGCCAGGCACTGACGGACCTATGGAGAGTCGGGGTGTGCCTCCCGGGCCTTACCGGGCCACCAAGCTGGTAAGACAGAGCAGATCCACGAGACTGGTCAGCGGGCCGGCGGCAGCCACCCCCTTTACGTGAGACCGCTGGTAGTTTTCCCTTGGGCGGATGACGGGTCCCTGGACCCCTAGGTTCGCTGAAAGGCCGGGGACGGGAATTACCTGGAATCGGACCCTTGCCGGACACGCCTCTCCCCCAACTCTGAGGGTCTGGGCCTTCGCTCCGGGCTCTCCGGGGCCACAGGCCCAAATGGAAGCGCCGGGAAGGCCGCATCGTACTCGTTGGGCGACTCCGGTGCCTGGGGCGTCGTAGGGTCTTCCTATTTCAGCCGCTCCCCACGCCTGATTTTCTACCACCAACCCCCTCCCCTTCAGAATTAGAGAACAATTGAGAATAAGTTCCAAAGCTTTGTAGGGTTAGGTTGGGGACAAGCCAGAATGTGACGGTTTCGTTTATTGGGTCCGTAGAATTTTTGATGCAGGATGTACCAGCAGAATAACAGTAGGAAACAGCTGCCTGTTTAAAAACAGTACTTTTAAGGACCCGTCAGTAACCTCTGTTGGTCACTGGATTTGTATGTGCCGTGCTCTTATATGGTTTGTGTAATTGAATCTTCCGTTTTTAAAATACTGTGCTTCTGGTTACGTGACAGTTAAGAGAGTCACTTTTGTGAGCCTCGAGTTTCCACGTTGGTAAAGTAGGGCTAATACATGCCTGCCAAGTATCTGCTCGTGAGAGGGTGTTGTGATCTGTAGAATAAGCAAGTTATCCTCAGGAAATTCTTTAGGTGGGCATGTGTTACTAGCCTGCTTTACCAGTGTGGAAACAGGCTCACAGAAGTCAACTGCCTCTTCTAAAGTCATAATAAACAATATGTGGCAGACCTAGAAGAATTCAGATCTTCCTGGTGTAGTTGACTTGGATTCTGCTGCTCAGCAAGTTATATTAATCAATATAAAGGATACAATTTAGAACAGGAAGGAACTTTGATCATGTAGTCCTGTCACATTATTTAAAAAGTCATTAAATTAGATGAAAATAATTCAAGCACCTGAAAAAGAAAACTTAATGCTAGTATTAAATCATTTTATGATTACAACAAGCCCATTGTTGTAATGGGTTTACATGAGGTAAGGTACCATTGTCCTCATTTTATGGTTAAGGAGATTGAGGCACAGAAAAGGTCATAAACAGGCCAGGCCTGGTGGCTCACGCCTGTAACCCTGGCACTCTGGGAGGCCTAAACGGGCGGATTGCTCGAGGTCAGGAGTTCAAAACCAGCCTGAGCAGGAGTGAGACCCCGTCTCTACTATAAATAGAAATAAATTAATTGGCCAACTAATATATACAGAAAAAATTAGCTGGGCATGGTGGCACATGCCTGTAGTCCCAGCTACTCGGGAGGCTGAGGCAGGAGGATTGCTCCAGCCCAGGAATTTGAGGTTGCTGTGAGCTAGGCTGACTCACGGCACTCACTCTAGGCTGGGCAAGAAAGCAAGACTCTGTCTCAAAAAAAAAAAAAGAAAGAAAGAAAAGGTCATAAACAATAAGTGGTAGAGCTAAAGCTGGAAAAACAACCCTAGTAGCCAGACTCCAGAGCCCAGTCTTAAAACTAGTACACTATGCTGCATCTCAGGAAAGTTATTCTGTAGTTTCCTTTAGTGCAGAGACCCCTTGTGTCATTTTTATTACCATTTTTCCAAGGCAGTACATAGCAGGCAGCTCAATATAAGTTTCTTGAATAAATAAATATTAAAAAATATAAAATGGGGAGGTGTGGGAAGAAAAGAATACAGTCATCATGTTTTCAGCCCTTAAATTCTGGGACCACATAGAGAGGATAAGTGGTAACATAGCTGATAGTGGCATAACTGGGATTACAAATTAGATGTCTTGACCTCTGATGTATTTTTTTGTTATTCAAAAGTATGATGTTTATTCTATACCAACATCACCTCCATGTGTTACTGTTAGAGTTGTCACAAACTTAAAAGTTTGGCTGATTTGAGAACAGTTTGGAAAATATCAATATATTTTTAAAATGTAGATATATCACAGGGTCATTAAATATGCAATGGATTTACAGCTTAGTGTTCTATGTTCACTGTAGGAATCTTAATAAAAAAGATACCTTAGTAATTATATAAGCCATTTTGATATTAATGGTCTTTTACCAGTAAAACTACTATTTAAGAATTTTTATAATATAATCAGATGTGAATTAAAGAATTGTCTTTGCCTAATGCCCTGGCTGATCTTGAACTCCTAGACTAAGTGATCCTCCTGCCTTAGTCTCCAAAATTTTGGGATTACAGGTGTGAGCCACCATGTTCGCTGCCTAATGTATTTCAGATCAGTAAAAGATTTCACTTTTGTTTAATTTTTTAAAATATCTTCCTTCTTTTTACAGTGGAATGAAGTCACCACATCTTTTCGAACAGGAATGCCTCTAAGAAAACACAGACAACACTTTAAAAAATATGGCAATTGTTTCACAGCAGGAGAAGCAGTGGATTGGCTTTATGATCTATTAAGAAATAATAGCAATTTTGGTCCCGAAGTTACAAGGCAACAGACTATCCAACTATTGAGAAAATTTCTTAAGAATCATGTAATTGAAGATATCAAAGGCAGATGGGGATCAGAAAATCTTGATGACAACAATCAGCTATTCAGGTACTGAGTGGATATGTACTGGATAAACTGAATTATAATAAAGTTTTATCTCTACTTTCATTATACTTTTATTAAAACAGCAGCTTTTCAGAAGAAATAATAGTTTATTTAGAAAATTGTTACTGCTCTTAATCCAATTAAAACCATTTAGAAAAATTATAAGGCAAAAGTTAATTGCTATAAAATTCAAGCTTTTTAAATGTTAGATAGCATATATAATGAAGTAGAGAATTGGGAGGAGAACAATGAGATATTATCACTTCTGCATATTCTGAAAGCTTTTTAACATTTCAAGGACAGCATCACTGACTTTTACTTTCATAGATTGTAGAATTATAAGACAAGTTCACAGGTCCTTGCCTTCAAATAACATAACCTAAGAATACATGTAATAATAGCAAACTTTATGTAACAAATAACAAGAAATATAGGTTAAAGAGAATATTTATTAAGCAGTTGTCATGTACCAGAAACTACTTTATGATGCACATGCTTTCTTATTTAATCCCTAAAATAGCCAAGCATGGTAGATATTAGTCCCTTTTTACAGATGAGGAACAGAGACCATTCTTCAACAAATCTTAAATCTGTCTGCTTGAAATGTCGTTTTACCTTGAAGCACTGTACACATTTGTCAGACTAGTAAATTTACAAATTTCTTCTAATCTTCACTCCTTTGAAACCTCCTCTGTGGAGCCTTTCTGACTCTTTGAGGCCAACATAAATTACCTAGAAATAACTTTTACCAAAAATGTGCAAGACCTTATTAGAGATGACTGTTAAATTGTATTGAAGGGAATGAATGGAGAAGATACCCTATTCGTGAATAAGATTTAGTATCATATAGATAAGTTATTTCTTTCAAATCCCTAATATAATTTTTTTGTAGAATTTAACAACCAGATTCTAAAATTCATTTGGTAAAGGTCTAAAGGAATTTTGAAGAACAAGGCAAAGAAAAATACCTTATATCTGGACTTAAAACAGGTGCTGGGAAAACAAATAAACCCACACATATGTGGGTATGGGAATTTGGTATAAGTTATATGTGGATTAAATACCTAAGTATGAAAAATAAAACTCTTAGGAGAGAATAGAAGAAAATATTTATATGACAGTGAAATAAGAAAGAACTTCTGAGGTCACTAAAACTTACATGTAAACGTAATGTGTGATAAAAGATATAATAAAGTAAAAAAACACCAAACCGTATATTGTTTATATATATTTATTAAAAGTATAAGAGCATGAACAAGAAGGAAATATACTAGGTATACGTTTATAGTTAAAAAAACTATAGGTTAATCGTTTCAGGAAGAGGGGGAAAGAAATAGAATGAGCAAAGAATTTCTTTTTTTTTTTTTAAAGAGGAGTCTTTGGCAAATGTCAACAATTGCATTGGTTGGTAGTTACGTGGATGTTAGTTTGTATTCTATGCTTTTTTATCTTTGAAATACTTTATATTGAAAGAAGGAAAATTCTTTATCAAAGGGAGCAACAGAAACCAAGTTCTAGAAATTAAGGTAAATACAGTCAAACAAAAGGGAGGAAATGTATACAAAATTTGTTATCTCATCAAAGGAATTTAGAAAATGTAGCATTCTGGAGCCATTTTGTGTGTACAAAATACCTCTCCAACAGAACTTATCCTATTAATAACCCTGAATTATCCAGAAATAAAGGTAAAATATGCACAAGATACTAAAGAAAGTAGGAAACTTAAAATATTTTTTAAAGGTTTAATGGGAAAATTTAACTCACATAGAATATTGTTCCTTGGTAATTGTCAATAAATGAGGTTCTTTTGTGATTTTTAAGATAGGCTCTAAAAATTTGTTTCTGATCTTACATTTTTTAATTGCTTATTATTTTTAAACCAGATTTCCTACAACTTCTCCACTTAAAACTCTTCCACGAAGGCATCCAGAATTGAGAAAAAACAGCATAGAGAACTTTTCCAAAGATAAAGATAGTATTTTTAAATTACGAAATTTTTCTCGTAGAACTCCTAAAAAGCATGGATTACATTTCTCTCAGGTAAAACATCCTTTTCCTAGTCACTAGGTTAAATATAATTACCATGTGTTTAATAATAGAATCATTAAAAGTAGATGATATGTTAATATTTAAAGCCAATAGTGAAATCTCCTAACCTACATTACATTCTAAAAATATATGTGTAAAATTGTTTGCAACCCATAGAAACAATGATAAAATGGTAGTAAGAAATACTTGAAATGATATATAAATACCATTATATAAATATATAAATAATTCCAATGCATTTTGTTTTAAATTGATATGAGAATATTGGGGATAGTTGCAAAACCAAAATCTTCATTACGATTTGTTATATTTCTTCAGAAAACACCTACCTCATAGCTGATGGACTCTATTAGTAGACTGGACAGATACTAATAGAATTACAAAGCATTAGCAATAGTGTCTGTTCCAGTATTTTCTTAGTTTGAGCATAACAGATTTAACCAAAATAATTCTTGTTTCAGGAAAATACAGAGAAAATAAACCATGAAATAATCAACGAAGATCAAGAAAATTTAGTTGATAATAGAGAAATAAGCCAGGAAGATGTTGAAGAAGTGTGGCGCTGTATTATTCTGATCTAGTAAGATAAAAATAAGCTTTAATAAAGTTCCTGAAATGTTTTAATTAGTAATTTGACAGTTTGATCAAAATATGCAAACAAATAAGAACAGATTAATTCTCAAAGCTTAGAATTTATATATGCTTAATATATGTTCTTTCTATAACTCTAATATAGTAGAAATAGAATGTTTCAGTATGATTTGTTTTTTTCTCTGAATCAACATTATGGCCATAGTTTGGAATATATATTGGAATCCTTCAAAAGGTATTGAGATAAATATATTTGAAAGTGGATACTAAATATAAACCTTAGAAGTTTGGTTTAAATAAAAATAAAATATTCTGATGGCTTTGTTTGTTAGCCAGTCATACTCATTCATGTGTATGATCTATCCTACTTATTTTATGAAGAAAAAAAAAGTTTATATTCTTTCTTCTGTTTAGCCTGCAAACTATTTTAGGTGTGCCATCCCTAGAAGAAGTCATAAATCCAAGACAAGTAATTCCTCAATATATAATGTACAACATGGCCAATACAAGTAAACATGGAGTAGTTGTACTACAAGACAAATCAGGTTGGTATTAATAAAAGAAATTAGAATTTTGTCATACTTGCTAACTAAGGTTACAGCTATAAGGGGGTGCAAAGGGGCCCAAATGTAGAAAGTAAAATATTTTCATTGAGGGGGAGCATCAGAAGATGTATTGTTTTATCATAATAGATACTTTAATAATAATAGTAAAATAAATTTTAGGTGAATATTATTCATACTATTATGAGAAATATTTTAGCTCCTAAGATAGATTCATGCATGATTTCAACAAAATGACAAGTTTAAACATTGAAAAGGTATACAAGAATAATAAAAACTATTGATTAACCACATGTTTATTGGAAACCTACAACATGTCAGACATTGTGCTAAAAATTTAGTGATAAACAAGACAGAACATGAAGGTCCATGCCTTCATGAAGCTTATATGAGCAGTTACATACAGATTTACCGGGGCCAAAACATATATGTAAAACCATAGTAACATGCAATAAAACAAGCCCAGACTCTCAAAATGAGAATTCTAAAGGGCACTGGCTTTTTTTGCATTTTGTATATTTATATTGTATGTTTATTTAAGATATATGTAGGAAAATCAGAAATAATTCAATCTAGATACATTAAAAAGCTTACATTATAAGAAATATATCAATAAATCTCTCAAAATGTTCAATTTTTTATAATAAATTGCTGTCTATAGAATTAACTGACATATCCTTTGGCTTTCTATGGGCAAAATCTTTGAGATTTTAATTGTAGGAACAATATGTAAATGTCAAAACTGATGAGTTTGCTGTGTGGCATATACAGGTGGCTTTGGACCAGTCCCTTCTTCCGTTAGCTAAAATAACATACTGAACAGTATGTGCTCTCATTTAAAATTTCTATTCTCTGTAACCATAAACTTTTCAAGCCAAGTATATTCATGGTTTATGTGTTTGTGTCAAAAAACTGCTAGTTAGCAGCAATTGAAAGACTTTAAGCAAGCCCTGCTATAAAAGCACCCTAACATTCAAAAATAGTTCATTTCAATCATAGGTGTCACCCAAATCAGTAATATTCAAATAGCATAACAATAGGCAGAACAGAAACAGGGATGAAGAAAAGTAAAGATGAATGTTGAGTTCATATCTGAACACACCATGAAAATAATCCTTGATTTGGAGTTAACTAATTGTTTTATGTAATATAAATAGAGTTAAACTCAAGATCTGTATAACTTTTTCAAACTTTTATATTTTAAAATACTGACTCGACTCTATGTATTAAACATGTAATAGTTTTTAATCCTAGTAATACACATGTGTAAATATATACATGTAGGTATAATTACACATAAATATGAAATTTTAAAATATATTATCATAGAAGTGTGATTTATTAAATAATATTAAATTTTTTTGTGTGTAGATGACCTTCCTCACTGGGTATTATCTGCCATGAAGTGCCTAGCAAATTGTAAGTTAAACAAAATATATGTGTATATGTGTTTTATATTGATATTATTTAACAAAAAACAGACATTTTTAAATAATTTATAAAAATCTTGATAAAATCAAAGTATATTATTTCTCTTGATGTTTAAATGAAAGTTGAGTGGAATTGATTACATTATGGAGCCCTTAACTTTTTCTATGTAGAAGATAATTTTTTAATTTAAGTCCATCATATATGGCTCAGTTCACATAAATCATAAAATCTTAGATAGAAAAAAAGATCATTTTTCACTAATTAGCAATTTATTTTTTTTTAGCATTTCATTGATCAAGCTTTTCCATAATGATCAGTGATAATTGATTTTTATAACTTAAGACCCCGGTTCAAGTACAAAACCCTAATTGTTTTCAAAAATAATCTTTAAAATATATAAAGGTATAGTTTTCTAAATCAAATGGTAAATTATATTTTAATAATTTTAGTTACAAATATAGTTCTCTAGTTCTTATAAAATTAGTATTTTCTAAAACACTAATGGGGTTTTATTAAATGTTCAGGATACATTTATATTCCTTTGTTGTCCACTGGGTGTCAATATGACAAAATGGCATAGAAAAAATACTGATAAAATCAATAATGTAAGTTTACAGAAATGTTTTATTTATCAAATTAAGGAAAAGATCTTGGTCATAAGCTTAAGACTTTTTTTTCTTTTTTTTTTTATTTCAGCATATTATGGGGGTATAAATTTTAAGGTTTCAAATAATGCCCTTGCCCCCCATCCCCACAAGTCTGAGCTTCCAGCATGACCATCCCCCAGCTTAAGACTTTTGAATTTCTCTTTCTACCTTTTCTATCTAACTGCCCTTCTCTTTCTTTCCTTGGCTCGTGGTTAGCAATTCATATAAGCATACTGTACAGCGATTTCTCCAACATCCTGTCTTTAGGGATCTGTGTCTTCCCAGTTCGTGTTATACCTAAATGATACCAAATATATAACTTACTGGATTCCAATTTAACAACAGCAATGTATTTAGCCAGAGGTAGCTTTAAGACTTTAATTTACTTGTAATTCAGTCCCCATAGTAATCCTGTGAGGTGTAGGAATTGTTAATCAGTATACCATCCTGTTTTTTTTCCAGTGGGGAGAAAGCTAAGCCTTAGAGAGTCTTCTGTTAATACAAAGGAGTTAGAGCTCAAACCTAGATTCTCTAACTATAAATTCTATAATTTTAATTCCAGTAAAACATATATTTTCTGTCTTAGAAAACTTTCTAATGATTATCAAATCTTTTACTCTACATACTAAGAATGTTTCTTATATCCTTATAAAACTATTTTGTACCACATAAAACCCATATTAGCCTTTAACACGTTGACTGCTACACTAGAAAAAGAAAATTTTCCTTGGAGCCACGGTGTTTTATTATGAAAATAGAATAAAAACTTAAAAAACGAATGATCCTTTCTAATTTAATGAAAAATTTGTTATTTTTTTGTTTTTTCTGTGCATGAGTTATATGCAACTTGAAAAATAATTCACATGGCTCCCAAGGTGAAGAGACATGTGAATTACATATGATTCACCAGGCCCTGAGCTCAAAACTAGTGTGAGTTAAATACAGCTCACATGACAGTTAATGTGTTAAGCTTTGTGTGTGTGTGTTTGTGAATTGTTTTCTTTAATCCTTTTTCAGTGTTGACCATATACGTTTGGTCAGAGAAGTAAGAAACATTATTTAGGTTTGGGTAAAGAGAGATTTTAACTTGCAAAATAGCATAGTGACTCCAAAATCTGAATCCATTATCATAATCACTTGGGAGACTCTCCAAAGATTCTGATTCGGTTGATTTAGTAGGTCAGGAATCTTTTTAACCATGTCCCCAGAAGATCCTTACAGTGAAGGTTCTCAAGTCAGTATTTGGAAACTACTCAATTAGTGAACCAGATGTAAACATTTGAAGGTCAGTGAATTTCTGGCTCCACCTTCATAGATTCTGGTCTGTGTAGAAGAATTTATATTTTTAATAGGTACATTTGTTGATTCTGATGTATGTAATCCATGGACCACATTTTAAATGTTGTTGGACCTAGAAGTCCTAGGCCTTGCTCTCATTTTTACACTGCTCTAAGTTCTAAGTTTAACTTTGCTATCAAAGGCTTTTTTCATCTTGGGCAAGTTACTCTGAGCCGTAATTTTTTTTCTATAAAATGAGATCAGATCTTATTTCTGAGGAAAATATTAATGAATAGGCATGATTATTTCAGTAGTTGTGTTAAGCTTAAGAAACAACAATGTAAGGATGCTATTTAAATTCATTAAGGGTATCCTTCATGTCAGGCAAAATTTATTCATGAAAATGTAAATTTACAAAGGACAATTTGGAGGAATTATTTCCATTATCCAAATATTCTTTGCTTTACAAAATAAATTGCAATAAAATCTCATTAAAATAGACTTCCCTAAATGCTTTTAAAATATGATATTTCAAATTTTGCTTTATATGTAATGTTTTAGTTGTAAAATTAATAAAACAAAATGCTAGTAATTAACTGCTTACAGTGGTTTTTAATGAAAAGATAATAAGGAATGAGATGTACACGACCCTTTGAATTTTTGAATTGTGCAGGATTTGTTGTTAAATATGTTGTTGCTCCTTTATGAAATATTGGTTTAAGTATATTAAACAAGTAATTGTATTTAAGTTAAAATATATTTTACGTTTTTCTTCTGCCTTCTACTTCTTAGGGCCAAAAAGTAATGATATGAATAATCCAACTTATGCTGGATTTGAGCGAGATGTATTTAGAACAATTGCAGATTATTTTCTAGATCTCCCTGAACCTCTACTTACCTTTGAATATTACGAATTATTTGTGAACATTTTGGGTATGTATGGATTTTACTTATTTAAATTTATTAAAGTTTTCAAGTTTTTCATAATTTAAAAGATCTAAAAGCATAAGTATATATGAAGGTGACAGACTATAAATTATTTCAAAATTCAGTGATACTGTGGTTGCTGTTATGTCATTTTTGAGTGATTCAAATATGTTATTCCAATGCCAGTTCTTCCTGGTACCAATGGAATGTCCTACAATTCAATTCAATTATGACACTAACTACCTAAAGACAGCCCAGACCCCACAAGTTAAGGGCTCGGTTCCATAATACTGCCCTCACTTCAGTGGCCAGATGCAAATGAGGTCCCCAGACTACTCGCACTTCTGTTTAGCCAACTACCAATTCAGGGATTCTTTTGGTCCTCTCACAGTTCAATAATTCACTACAATGACTCATATAACTCAGAAAAGTACTTTATTTGTGATTATCAGTTTATTATAAAGGATAGAACTCAAGAATAACCAAATGGAAGAGATGCACAGGGTAAGGTATGGGGGTAGGGGGTGACAGAATTTCCATGCCCTCTCCAGGCACAGCACCCTCCCAGTATGTCCATGTGTTCACTAACCCAGAAGCTCCCTAGCCTGCTTGTTTCAGAGTTTTAATTGAAGTTTCATTTTAGGCATGATTGATTAAATCACTGGCCATTGTTGCTTGAGCTCAATCTCCAGACCCCTTCCCCTCTCAGGAGGTTGTAGGTGGGGATGAAAGTTCCAACCCTCTAAGCATGGCCAGCCATGAGTCACTGTAGCATAAATTCAGGTATGTTCAAATAGGCTTGTTACGAATAACAAAATACTTTCATCATTAGGAAATTCCAAGGATCTTAGGAACTCCATACCAGGAGCCAAGCACAAAGACCAAATATGTATATTGTACCAAAGTTGTCTTATAATTAAGAGGTTTCTGGTACTTACAGACTGAGAACAGATATCTTTAAATGTATTTTGGCTCAATCCATTTAATTAGTCTGTTGAAACAATTGTTTTTAAGTCATTTATTTCACAAGTGGGAACCACCAATAAGTCTTGCACGTTTATAACCGAATGTTGCATGTGTCCTATATAAGTGGCTTCTGAATTAAGCAACTGCTACTTGTACTATACTAACAATATATACTATAGTAATGCTTTATTTTTTAACTTTACTATTATTGTTTTATTTTTGTCTACTGTCATACCAGTTGCATCTTAATTTTTGTTTCATTTCCTGGTAGTTGTTTGTGGCTACATCACAGTTTCAGATAGACCCAGTGGGATACATAGAATCCAAGACCATCCACAGTCTTCAAAAACCCATCAATTAAACAATTTGAATTCCTTCAAATCAACTGAGTGTCTTCTTCTTAGTCTGCTTCATAAAGACAAAAACAAAGAAGAATCAGATTCTACTCAGAGACTACAGATAAGTGATCAAGGATTTCAAGAAAGATGTGCTAAGAAAATGCAGCTAGTTAATGTAAAAAACAGAAGAGCGAGTACTAATGACGTAATGGGAGGAAGTTGTCATAATTTAATAGGCTTACGTAGTATGCATGTTCTATCCTCTAACATCAAACCAAGGTGCTATTCTTTGGAAGGAATTGTAGATATGCCAGGGAATTCAAGTAAAGAGACGTCCAGTGTCTTCCATCAATCTGTTCTGAACATAGAAGGACAAAATAATGAACAATTTTTAGAATCTGAGCCCAAACAGGAATTCCTATTGAATCTTCATTCACAGGAAAGTAATCAAAAGCCATTCAGTGTTGGTTTTAAGAGAACCTCTACTTTGACTGTTCAAGACCAAGAGGAGTTATATAATGGGAAATGCAAGTCAAAACAGCTTTGTAGGTCTCAGAGTTTGCTTTTAAGAAGTAGTACAAGAAGGAATAGTTATATCAATACACCAGTGGCTGAAATTATCATGAAACCAAATCTTGGACAAGGCAACACAAGTGTACAAACAGCTATGGGAAGTGAACTCGGAGAGTCTAGTACCACAATCAATAAAAGACTCTGCAAAAGTACAATAGAACTTACAGAAAATTCTTTACCTCCAGCTTCTTCTATGTTGACTGGCACACAAAGTAAGGTTGTTGCTTTCAGTGCATGCAATATTAACTTTAATGTTTACTAACTCTGTGTTTTGCTTATCTGCCTTTTCTTCTCCAAAATTGCTTAATTATTTTCCTCCAAGAGGAATTATTGTACAAGACTTTTGTCATGGCATAACTAAGATTTATTCTACTTATCTAAAGGACTTTTCTTTTCCTCCAGTTTCACTTATTCTGAGTCACTTTACTTGTAATAAGTGAAGGATTTTAATACTTAGAAATACGTTGTAAAGAAAATAATGAGAATTGTACTGTGCTTTTGAGGAATTTAGAAAGTTCTAGAAATAGTTAAATGAAATACTAAGATATTATTTTACTTCTTTATATAACTATATATACTGGTAGTATGAAAGCAACTGTATTATTGATGATTTTTTTGTGGGGGGAACTTTGCCTTCTAGGTTTGCTGCAGCCACATTTAGAGAGGGTTGCCATCGATGCACTACAGTTGTGTTGTTTGTTACTCCCCCCACCAAATCGTAGAAAGCTTCAACTTTTAATGCGCATGATTTCCCGAATGAGTCAAAATGTTGATATGCCTAAACTTCATGATGCAATGGGTACAAGATCACTGGTAAGTTGATTTGTTATAAAAAGAATAAGCTGTGGTTCATAAACCAAAGAAGAAAAACTAAACTATATAAAAGTACTACCCAAGTGGTATCTCAGTCTTCAAGTCCTAGATTCTTGGGTTAGAAAGACTCCTTAAATTCTAACTTTTCCTAGCAGCCGAATGTTTGGTATATTAATCCTTTGTGTGCAGTCTATTATATTTTCACTTCTTGGTGTTAGTCTTAGCTGAAGACTTTGCCTCCTTACTCATCCTGCATCACTTCAGTAATTGACCAGATAATGAGACTATATTATGTTGCCTTGTGCCAATTCTGTATGGTGGGGAAGGAAAAGGAGATGTAGGTACTGTTGAAAGCTAAAGGGCACTATAACCACAGAAGTAGAGAACTAATGGGACATACTATAGTGAATTAGAATGTTTCAGAGAGTATAGTCATGGGAAAGTAGGTCATCGTGGGCAAGAAGTTAGGAGGCACTATTGCCAAGCAGTCTCAACTTTAATTTACAAGAGGTTCTTATAGGAAATAACCTAGAGCTATGCTTTCTTCTGCTGCTCATTATTAAGGACAATTCTTTAAAAATGACAGACAACATAAAAAAAGAATTATTCTTTAGTTATTATGACACTATTCAAAAACATAGGAAATTTAGAGGGGAGGATGTTTTGAGAGGCAAGAGTGGGAAGGTGATAATTTCATTTTGTACTTTTGGGGTTTGAAATTACAGGATATCCTAGTGAAATTTATCCAGCAGAATGTTGGAAATGTGAGCCTGGTGAAGAAAGGTCAGGTCAGATGGCTAATTTTTTGAGTCTTGCACATGGAGATGATAGTTAAAGCTCTGAGAGTAGATGAGCTCTACCAGGCTAAGAATGTAGAACAAGAGCAAAATGCTAAGGACTGGACCTTAGAAGGAGATAGAAAAACCTGACTGACATGTAAGAATAAAACTAAAAATATTGCAGTTCAGTAAATATTTTGATCATCTATTCTGTGCAAAATACTTAAAACAGAATTCTGATATACTAATTATTTTAGAATGAGGAGTGTATGTGTTACAGTTAGTGAGTTATATGGATATGAATGAGAGTAATGAGTTTTAAAACACAAAATTTATCCCCAGATTCAAAGATTTATTATAATGGAATTTAAAAATCTATGTTAAATTGCTATTTAAAGACTAACAGAATAAGCATTGAAAACTGCCTTCCTAAGTTTCAAAAGATAATGTTGCCAACTTTGCAACCACTTATGAATATAGGTGTTCTGTATGTTATATATTCTCCTGGTTTATGTTTTTGTGGGATTCATTTAACATAATATGTTATTGTTCTCTGACAATCTTTAAGCTTAAGGAATGTATCTATATGATATTAATAGAACCTATGGTGTTAACTGATAAAATTGTAGCAAAATTAAAGAAAAACCTAAGCCTTTTTTAATCCTTTAAAATTGTATTAAGGAAATACTTTAAAAATAGACTTAAACATAATAGAATTCTTACCTTCCTAATTGTATAAATTATTGTCCTCATTTTTAAGCTGAAGTCTGCTTATCATTTTATCTCAATACTTCATATAGTGCCACCTGAAAATTACTGATACTCTAAAATACATGAAACCTTAGGTTTTTAAATTCACATTTTTTAATATGTTTCTAGATGATACATACTTTTTCTCGCTGTGTGCTATGCTGTGCCGAAGAAGTGGATCTTGATGAGCTTCTTGCTGCAAGATTAGTTTCTTTCTTAATGGATCATCATCAGGAAATTCTTCAAGTACCCTCTTACTTACAGACTGCTGTGGAGAAACATCTTGACTACTTAAAAAAGGGACATGTAAGTATTGTGAGTCTTCAAGTTCTCTGCATCAGTCAGTTGCAAGTGGCAAACTTAGCTCAAACTAGCTTAATCAAAAAGGGAGACTTTATCAGCTCATATAAACAAACTCTAAAAGTCAGGAATATAGACAGAATATGGAATTTAAGTAGCTATAGGACTCTATTTCAATCCCTCCATCTCTTATTTTTGCTTTGGTCCTGTATTTGGCAGTGGCTCCTTCACCTGATGAGGAATCACAGCCTTAAATTTACAATTCAAAGGAAAGGGCTATCCCTTCACTTCTAATTTGAACAGTTCTGGATATGGACTCTTGACTGGCCCAATCAAGATTAAATGGGCATCCTTGGGGAAGTTGAAAGTGAGTAGAATGGAGGGGGGGGAAGATTATACTCTGGTTCTGCATAGATTAGAGGAGAATTTGTTCTTCAAAAAAGGTGAGAGTGCAGGGGGTAAAATGGGAAGGGACTGTTAGAAGAAAGAAGGAATACTCAGCAGCCAGAACAAGAGCTACCTACTATATTCAGTCTTTGGCTGCCCAACAAATGTGTTCATGTTTTTCTTATATATACCATTCTAATATTGCCCTGGTTTATCATAATTTAAACTATCCCCTATTTATCCCTAATTTCTTCCTTATCAACAAATGTTATAGGCTTTGCCTATGCCTCTAGGCCTCAAAAATAGTATGTGAAAACCAAAAGTATTAAAATATAGTAAATATGCTGATCATCTGGTAAAAAGTAGGACATTAATTCAAAACATTAGTGTTTTAAGGTGAATTAAAATGTCACTTAGATTATTATTGTTTTACAGTTAAAAGAATAAAATAACTTGCTGAAGGCTACAAAGCTAGTAGGTATAGAGTTGTGATTTAGATCTTACTGACTCATCACTACTCTCCTACATAACACATGGTTTCCTTAATGGGTTGTCTGATTCATAGCAAAATAATAGGTAGTATATCTCTTCAAAAAGCACTTTACCATATATTCAATAAGAACATAACCAGAATTAACAAACTTATATCATTTTGTTCACTACAGATTAAAAATCCTGGAGATGGAGAAATTGCTCCTTTGCCAATTTATTCATACTGTAAGCAGATTAGCACTCAGGAGTTTGATGAACAAAAAGTTTCTACCTCTCAAGCTGCAATTGCAGAACTTTTAGAGGCTATTATTAAAAATAAGAGTTTACCTCTAAAGGAGAAAAGAAGAAAACTAAAACAGGTAAGAGAATGAACAGGTTTTCAATCATGTAAATATTTTCTAATATGCTGTTACTGGTTGTTTTTTAATAACATTTAAAGTCTAATTTCTTTTAATATCTTGGATATATAGGCTGTATATTTTGCTGCATTGTATGTGCACATTAAACTACTTCAAAAATACTTGAGTGCCTACTTGATTTTACTCATTATCCTGAATTTTAAAATAATGATAATAATAATAATAGATACTCTCCATTACTATTGGTGTTTTGTGTAATTATAGCTTGGAATAGCCTGGGAAAGCAATTTTAAAATCTGGATTATAATATCTTTGATTTTTCACTATCTTTTAGAATGTTTAGCTCTAAAAACCCAGTAGCCACAAGATCTGGCAAGTCCAATTCCAAGTCTGAGACATTCAGATATGAATTAATACTACATCCCTGCAACCTTCTTAGACTTTACCAATGGCAAAGAAGACGATCTAGAAATTAGGGGGAGAATTAGCAACAGAAAAGACTCCTAGAATGTTAACGCTAAACGGGATCTAAGATCTTATAGTGTATTAAATACCTTTCACATAAGAGAAAAGAGAGGGAGAGGTAAGAGCAAAATGAAAGGATTTCTATAATTTTTATAGAAATTCTATAAAATTTCTATAATAATTCTTTGGGAAGGCACTGAATTCTTATAAAATGTTAAGCACTGACTTCAGCTAGGTTAATAATATTAAATACTGTCTAATTCTTGGCCTCATTTTTCAGTTTCAGAAGGAATATCCCTTGATATATCACAAAAGATTTCCAACCACCGAAAGTGAAGTAGCAATTTTTGGTGACAAACCTACAATCAAGCAACCAATGCTGGTTTTAAGAAAACCAAAGTTTCGTAATCTGAGATACTAAGTGAATTGAAAATTATGTAATACTTGTGGAATTTTGATATATGAAGCCATATCTGAGAATCTAACTACTAAAAAGGAAGTCTGTTATTAATAGGGGCTTCCTATATAAACACATTATGTAGGGAGGTGCCAGAATAGTTGTTTATCAACATGAGATTGCTAACAAACTACTAGTTCTCAACTGACAGCACAAACAATAGGTGATACCAAATATTTTAACCAGAAACAATCTTTAGTTTTTAATACAACTATCAGAAAAAGCTATCACGATGTGTACTAAATTGTATTTACTTGAATTTTGAAAACTGAGCTGCGTCCATCAAGATTAAGCTGTAATTCTGTTCTTAAAAGAAAACTTATGTGTACAAGTCCATGGATAATTAGCTGAAGAACTAGTTGTTTAGGGTTACTTCTTTGTTTCTAAGTTTAAGAATGTGAATACCATATGAAAGCTCAATGAATTAATTTTCAGTTGCTAAATGTTGCACTCTTTTGTATATTCTTTTTCTACTTTTGTCCTATTTATATATGTATATGTATGTATGTATTTTTAAAACATGTATATATATTATAAGATTTGGATGTGCCTTAAACATTATCCTGACTGCTTTAGTCATTAATGTGTTCAATGTATTTTGAATTCTTATTTTCATAATCTACTAGAAAGTGGTGATTTAAAATAAGTATAAGGCAATCATGTATTCATTTAAAAGATATTTATTTAGCAACTGCTATGTGCCTTTCATTGTTCCTGATATGTGGAAATAATGAAGAATAAAACAAAATATCTTCCCTTAAGGTATTTATTTTCTAATCAAGGGAGATACACCTATCAGATGCTTAAAATAAAAATATACTCACTGAAGTCAAGGTTATATGGAATCCTTCAGCTAAAGACTGACTTCTATGATTATCAAATAGTTCTCTATGCTAGCAGTTTTTTAGCTGGTACTCATTAGAATCATGTGGGGAGTTTTAAACATCTGTATGCCCAGAGCCTACCTTATACCAATTAAATCTGAATTTTAGGGTTGTTATATAGGTATCAGTATTTTTTTTTAATTCTCTAGGTGATACCTAATATTCAGCCAACTTTGAGAATCAGTGCCTTAAATGCTTTTTTATAAACATTTAAATGTCAACATGGGAGCACGCTGACTTTGTATTCATTGGAAGAAAATGCCAAGTATAAATGCCTCTTGTCTTAACACTCTGTATTTCTGCTTGATTGATTTGTTACAAACTTGAAGCAAGTTGTCTTCCATTTTTTATTTCAAGATTTTTGAAATATCTATTCCTTAAGTGTAAAGAAATATATAATGCCTGGGATGTAATAGACTCTTAATGTTTAATGACTATTCTGTTTTCTCAATGTAATTTTATACTATCTATAAAATATATTCCATTTAACATTACTATTTTTTATTAAAAGCTTGGACAGAAATTATAACTATACCTTTACCCCAGAAATTCTGACTATAAAATTATGAGCCAAATTAGAATTCTTTCCAAGGTGTTTGTATGCTAAACCTTTCCTGTTTAAAAGTATGCGATAATGTGAATTATGTTACAAATTGAGATAAAAATTGTGAGTTTGTAACAATTTGATTTTGCTTTTGTATTTATTGACATTAAATATATAAATATTATAAAGATGTAAACTTTCACTTTCATTAGTATACATACAATTGAGATTACAAAATACATGGTTTAACACTAATAACATGAACTCTGAAGTCAGGTTTGAATCCTTCCATGCTATCAACTAGTTAGTAACCTCAGACAAGTTAACTTCTCTAAGCCTCAGTTTTCTTATCTGTAAAATGAAGATTATAGTAGTACCTCTCTTTTAGGATTGTGAGGATTAAGGATAATGCATGTAAAGTGTTTAGCATGGTGTCTAGCATAGAATAAGCACTCTAAATATTAGCTATTATTACTAGAATCATGTGGAATTATAGCACTAGAAGAGATCTTAGCAAAAAATGCAGTCCTCTCAATTGCTTTGGGCAGACATGAGCCAAAACAAATTATGAACAATTGATGAATCTTATTAAGCTATTGTAAGTTATGAGACAAAGGTTACTATACAGTGGTTGAAATTTTTTGATCTAGTAGAGAGGGAAACTTTAATGAGGAAGGAAAGAGTAGATATCTTCAGAAGTAATATGCTTGAATCTGAAAGCAAATGGGATCCAATGCACAAGTACCTAGGCTGGAGCATGGACAGATTACATTCTAACAAAGAATGGAAGAATATTTAAGTTCAGATACAGATGATTTGATTGGTAGATTCAATGTTAGTTGCATGTAGAAATTATTCTGATTGCTTTTGCTTCCTTAGGAAATAAGAATCAAATTCAACTGAGAGTAAAGGAGCAGTGGGAAGGAGTACATTTAAAGAGGTGTGAAATAGTCCAGCTGGGAATGCACAGGTTCCACACAAGATCAAATGATGTCTGGTTGTTTTATAAATTATAGTTCTGATCGTAGAAATTATTGCCCTCTACTATCCCCTATTAATATCTAGTGCTAATTGGTATCATGTAGACCCACTTTTCCTACCCACATTGTCCAGATAGTTAATGTGGCATTTAGTAGTGGAAAATACATGGAATTTCCCACAGACTCACCTTTCTGTCCTTGAGAAACTTAAATTGAGTCTCTCCAACTATAAAATATGAGTATCTACTGAATGAAGTTATTGTGATAGTCTTGAACTTAGCAAGCCTATGCTCAATTTTTAAATCCTTTCTTCTTGCCTTGTATTGAAGTTAAGATCTCATTAAAATTCCTTTGCTATCAAATTTGTAGTATCTTCTACCCTATCAGTGGTAAATTTTTGACCTCATGTTTGATGGAATTAAAGATAGTTCTGGAATTTTATGCCCTGGTAATTTGTAACACCGACAAATATATCACCCTTTGATTTTGAAGGTGATGTGTGTGTGTGTGTGTACATATGCACATGTGTATTTGGTGACATTGTTAAAACATTTATGGGAAAGAAATGAAGGATAGCTAGTTTTAATATTAAACTAAATTGGAAGGTCAGTTCATCCAAATAAATTTAATAGTTCTAATATAATATTCTGAGGCAACTCAGAATAATTAATTAACTATTATTAAGAGTCTTATTTTTTTCAGAACTGAGAAAAAATACATCTTAGCAGTTTTTAATCTCTTCTGAAAACCTCAGAATGTGTACGGAAAAAACAGAATGTTTAAGACAAAACAGTGTTGACTTTTGCTCATTAAAAAAATTTTTTTTTTGTATCAAAGCCTAGCTTTATATATATTAGTTGACTTCTGAATTGCCCTTTCTGCCATAAGTAGCTAGAGAACCAGACAAAATATATGAAACAAGTGTTTTCAGACATTGGATTACAGGTAATACAGGGCTATGACCCCTGAGAAAAATAAAACAAAGGAGGTAAATAATGGCTAATTTTCTCTAGATGTGATGAAGAGCACAAATCCACAGAAGCTCAAGTAACCTCAAGCAAAGAAATGTAAAACCACACCAAGGCATGTATAATCAAGCTGAAAACTAGTGAAAACTAGAGAAAAATTTTAAAAGTAGGCAGAGAGAAAAAAAACGTATACAGAGGAACAAAATGTAAGAATGAAGGTAGATTTCTTGTCAAAATCTATGCAATCCAGGAAACAATTGCTTAAGATATGCCATCTTGGCTGGGAGTTGGTGCCAGCTTCCTAGGACTATTCCCAGTTATAACTATCTTAGGTCATGTTCCTCCTAATACTAAGACAAATATTTGTGGTCAGGAGATTTACTTGAGGCCAATACTTGTAAGAAAGTGATGGAGCTTGGGTGGGGCACAATAAGAATTTGAACTGCAATGCAGTAGTGACAGAGGACTCAACTGATCCCATAAGGGCTCTGGAGCAGGGATGACCTTTGAGATTGTCCCAAATTAAGGAATGGGGCTGGTCTTTGCACCTTAATATAAACCAGTCTCTGGTTATGGGCTGATCCTGGGGAGCAGATGTAACCTTGGGTATGGCAGTTGCCATTAGCCAAGCACAGTTTCTAAAGAGGAATGCAGCCAGTAATTCTGGCAGCTGGGGGAATAAATGACTCAGCATTGAATGAGGATCTGTTCAAAACACCCCATATTCGCTCCAGGGGATCCCTAGCATTAAAACAAACAAAAAAGGGTTTGTGTTAATATGTGAGAGACAGATAACGAAAGAGAACAATAGTTTTGGTTATTTTTCAATCTAGTATTATTTCTTACTTAAAAGTAATATCTATTTATTATAGATTATCTATAAATTAAAAAATTTAAATCTCCTATAATCTTATCCAGATACAACCCTATACAAATCTTGGAATGTTCTGTCTCCAGAACTTTGACTCTTAATTATTGAAGAGAAAGTAGTTCTCTTTTTATTTTCCAACACTTATATTATTAGCTATGGTTAGAGGTTAGCAATAACTTCACTTAAAAATTCATGATAACACTAAAAATACAGTGATAAAAGACCTGCCATGTTTGCTTATCATGTACAAAGTCTCAGACTTTTATATTCATGTGTTTTCATTAGCTTTCTGATTTATAACTTGGAAATTCTAAGGACTGCATCCATCTTTAGATCTTAGCAGTTTCAATCTGTCTTCTGACTCCTAAGTGGTTTGGTTTGTCAGGCAGCACCTTATGCTTAAGCAAAGAATCCAAATCTCTTTATCTTTCCTAGCTTAATTGATATTCATGTGTCTCAGCCACTCAGACTTACATTCCACTGTTGCTGAGCTGGAATTCTGTTAAGCGTTACACTCACTGCTCATTACGTTGAAAATTAAATGTCAATATCAACTATAAATTGGAAGAAATTACACAATTTATAAATCACTTAAACATTGATTGAAATTTAACTTTTGGAATCAGTGTTGGATAGTTCCTAACATAATTCTTTATTTATGTATTTATTTTTTAAGAAAGCTGTTAGTGAGTTAGTTTAGAGACTCACAGGCAGCAGTGCCATCTGCAGGCCTTCTCGGATACTGCTCTTTTTAGTCTACCGAAATCTCTTCAAAGGGATTTGCCTCCACTAAATATTTATGGCTTTATAATGTCAAATACAGTAATATTAATCACATATTTTTAAAGAGTGAATTTTCAGGTAGAGATCCCTGTTAGGAATTTTTAATTTCACATCAACTATCATATCCATATTTATAATCAAAATATCAAGCATAATGTGCAGGATCTGGAATATACATAGAATAAACACAGATATTGGGATCATACAGAACTAGGTTTTAATTGTGGCTGCATTACCTACCAGATGTGTGAAACCTTAAAAATTTTATTTAATCTCTCTGAGATGCAGTTTTCTTATTTATAATATGGGAATAATACATTCTTCATGACATTGAGAGCTCCAATGAGATAACGCATATATAGCGCCTTGTACAGAATGTGCATACAGTATGTCTTCAATTAATAATAGTTTCCTTTGCCTTAAAATTAAAATTTTTAAAATCTCAAGACCATTTGTTGCCTTTGTACTTAGTAAATTTAAAAATTATATATATGTCATTACTCATTTGGAGAAAATTAAGTTTGAAGGAACCATCTTCCTGGGAAACTTATTCATCCTGTCCTCTATCTCTTCTCATTCTTATTTCTTTTAAAATTTAAATTTAGCTATATATGTTGGTACCTGCATAGAATATTTCTGTAAGATATTCACAAGATATTGATAAATAGTGGTTGCTAAATCTTGGAGATGTGAAGGAGCCTTATTTCTTTATATATTTTATATATATATATATATTTATATGTCTGCTTGGTACTATTTTAATTTCAATCATGTACAGCATTACTTTTTTAAATAAAAAAACTAATTTATAAAAATTAATACATTTTAATGCATTAAAAATAAATGTAAATACCTGGAAAAGGAACATATTTGAGAATACCCTCATATAAAAAATAGATGACAATTACTCCTCCCCTTCTAATCTTTGCTTCTAAATGAAACAAGACAGAAAAGAGAAAGGTTTAACTGAGCAATTCAGATTTTGGATGAATTTTCTCTGAAGTCATAATATATACTCTTAAGGGAATCTGTGTATAATTTTCCTCTTAGCAGGGCCTGAGCTACACATATTCACCTGCTAGCTCTGCATTATGTAGTAAGCAATGATTTCTATTTGCGGACTTTTTTACAAAGCACTCTACCTTGGGGGAGGGGAGTTTGCCACTTACGTGGAAAGCTAACATAAGTACGGTTACCTTGGTAAGTACTACAATAAGATAAAATTCTTTACCTATCTAACAAAACGTTTAAGACATGTTATATGTATTAGTCATCCTATGATGATCCATG